ATCTTTTTTATCCTGTGTTCTGCTACTTTTAAAAAAGTACAAACGAAAAATTAACAAAAAGTTCAAATTAATGCTGAATAACCATCTTGAGATTAAGAGTTAGTTCTGTTTATCACACATGCACTCAAACGAAATCATCATGTATGTTGACATCAAAAAGAGATAAGCTAATTTACAGTAACTTTGATTGAACAGTTAAGTCAAACACTTATGCTCCAGTTAACTCTGTCCTGCAATAGCTTTTAATATTATTACAGTTATGCCATTCTACTTCCTGACTTCTCTTAAATATTAAAAGTTCAGGAAATTGGTTTCTGCTCCTGCCAATCTGAGAACATGTTCCACCCAGGTTACCAGTGACCTCCAACTTCATATTCACCATCACCATGTTGTTCAGTCCATTTGACCACATGCCGCTATGATCATTGCCTCTTTTTTGAAACTCTTCCCAGCGCTGGCTTCCTTCACAGCAGCCTCTGTTGGGAGCTTCTCTTCCTCTCTCTACCCTATACACATTATTCTCCTCCAGAATACTACCCCTGGCTCTATTTTTTCTTTTCCTAGGTGACACATCAGCTCAATAATCATCTTGCTTATGGTGTCCAGCTCTCAATCTCGGACCTCTAGGTGCTGAGTCCAAACCATCTGTCCACCACTATGTTTACTGGGAACACCCACACGCATGTTTATGCACAGGTAGTCATGCTCACCATTCACATCCTTTCCAACATTTATATGCTCTCTCCCAGTGATTAGCACCACCATGCACCCAGCTACTCAATGTGAAACCAAGACACCTCTCCATCATCTCTGTCCGTTTGGTTCTACCATATTATTATCCCTCACATCCAGCCTCTCTCTAGCACCGCCCTTCCTGCCTTAGCACAGGGCCTCCTCATTTCTCAAACAGTGCACCATAACAATCTACATGCGATCTCCTGTGTCCAAGTCCCCCCACCTCCATTTAGGCCTTCCACATTGCTGCCAGTGTAACCTCTCTTAAATCTTCAAACTTCAGGATGAAGGCCAATTCTTCAGCCAGGAATACATGGTCCATACAGCCTAGGCCCTGGGCCTCTGTCCAGCTTCATCACTTACTACTCCCTCCCCCCAGCGCAACTACCAACATGCTCATGTGGCCATTCCTTTGCATCTTACTTTTTCCTTTTTTTAGCTTGGATTCTCACACTTCCAAGTCATTCCTCCAATAATCAAGTTTCACAGCCAGGAAAAAGATTTGCCTTCTCAACAGGTATACTTTTAGTATCCTTCCTACATTTATATGCTGTATCTAAGGACTGTTGAAGAAATAAGCTGGGGAAGAAAATATACAACTGCGGTTGCTGGGGAGGGGAAGGTAACTACAAGAGTGGATTTTGGGACAAAGATAGAAGTATCAGGTCCACAGCATGCATGGAAAGCCCTGCCCTTGATGGAAGCTGGGATTTCCTTCTCTTGTAGTGGGAGGTATGCAAAAAATATGGGATCAGATGCTGTTGGTTTGTAGGTGTATTGGTAGGTAGGGCGTTTGGTGGTGGGTAGGCGTGGGGGCTGCTGTATACTAGCGTCTGTTTTCTCACTGAAGTGTGAGGTGATTTTACCATTAGAGTCATGGGTAAGTGGAACAGGATGATTATGGAGGTTTGAGAAAAGATGTTTTGTAAGTTAACCTGAGAGCACAGACATTGATGTAAGAATACTATTTTATTATTGATAAAAGCCTAATTACAAGAAAAGATTTAGCATATATTATTTCTATTAAGTCGGTCTGTTCTTTAGTTTATAAATTTAATTTAGAATTTTATCCTGGCAACTAGAAGAAATATGGACAAAAACTGGTGATATTCTCAAAAATTTATCTTAAGAGAATCATATTTTGAAATGTATTGTTTTCACTATATGTCACTGAATATAGGTAGGAGAGCAACTATTTTTTTTTTTTTTGTCTTTTTTTTCGTGACCGGCAACGGATCGCAACCCTCAGTGTCGCGCCCGTACTGGACCGGGACTGGCAACGGGATCGCAACCCTCAGTGTTGCTCCCGCACCTCGCTCAGCCAGTGAGCGGCCGGTCTGTATGTGGGATCCGAACCCTCTGTGGGAGTGCCGTGCTCCCAAGCAGCGCACTGTAGCAGTGCGCCACCGGGCCGGCCCGGAGAGCAACCAATTTTAAAGCTGAACTTTTATTCTTTAACATGTTTTACACATTTAATCGACACACATTTGATGTTCATAAGTTTTTCCAAAGAATTTTCTGTTGTTTATGCTGCTATCTTCTGTCTTCCAGATAATGTAGAATGTAAGACCCACCGAGACACATACATCTTATTCACTGCTCTAACTCATACCCAAAAGAATGCCTGAACACATAGAAAGCATTTTAAAAATGTGTTAATGAACAAATAATCATAGAACATTTGAATGAGACCAGAGAAGAAATAAAAAGGCAATTGAAAGTGGTAGAAAAAGAGCCATGAGGAAAGACTCATCTTGTTTAATAGTTACCAAAAGTGAAACATTTCATACATATGAGAACACACAGGTTACTACCTTTACAACACCGATGTTTTCATTTAACATCGTGAAGTATAAAAATTGCTAACATCTGAATTTCATAATAAGGAGGTTAAAAGATCTTCCTGGAAGATCCTTAAAATCTGAAGAGATACTTATACATTTAGCTTTACTTGGCAATCCTGCCTTCTCTATGAGTGAACTACTAGATGGGTTTCGATGGCCTCTACCTACCCTTTGAACCATCATAAATGATTACCAAGCATACCACATGTGGCTGATTATCTGTAGTTTGGAAGTGTGATTCCTAAATCCCAAATGGGTTGTAAGATATAATTCCACTATTCATTTTTTAAAAATGACTAAGATCCAGTCATTAAAAAAAAAAAAAAAAAAAAAAAACCCAAAAAACCCCTCAATGCTTGGCATATAAAATACAGATTCAGAATATTATATAATAAATCACATATAATGTGGGCAACAATGTGAGTGACACTTGTTTACATTTTAGGTGTGAAAACTAGCAAATTGCTTGACTTATTTTTTGAGTATGTTCTAGGATCAAGGACTCCTTTCTTCCCATGTGCCAAAAATAATGGGCCAACCCGGTGGCGCACTCAGGAGAGTGCAGCGCTGGGAGCGCAGTGACGCTCCTGCCACGGGTTTGGATCCTATATAAGAATGGCCGGTGCGCTCACTGGCTGAGCACGGTGTGGGCGACACCACACCAAGGGTTGTGATCCCCTTACCGGTCATGGAAAAGACCAAAAAAAAAAAAAATTAAAAAAAAAAAATAAGTATTCCATACCTTTACAGATATAATTTTTTTTTAATTACGTATTCTTTTTTTTTTTTTTTTCCTTCTGACCAGTAAGGGGATCGCAACCCTCAGCAAGGTGCTGTCTGCACCACGCTCAGCCAGTGAGCGCACTGGCCATCCCTATATAGGATCTGAACCTGCGGCCTTGGCACTACCAGGGCCACTCTCCTGAGTGAGCCATGGGGCAGGCCCCAAAATTACGTATTCTTGATCCTAAAATTCCCTGGATGGAAAAAGCACAACTCAGTTTTATTCACCAGTAAGAGTGGAGTCTGCTTACAGGGGTTCTCTAGCATGTATCTACAGGACTAATGATTTTGGTCAAAGGACTCTAGAAACCAATAAATAGATTTACCCCTCAGTCATAGAATGACATAGATGACAGAATTTGAAAATGACAGTTGCTTTGATTTATCAATCTGACCAGAGTTCTGTTTTAATCGCCATGATAATTTTAAATGACAGTATTTTCTTATCTAAAAAAAAGGTTGTGCTTAACATTTAATCAAGTTGTAGTATGACTCATTCATTGTAAGTCATCATTAATGACACTTGAACAACCTATAAAAACCATAGCCTGGGCCGGCCCGGTGGCGCACTGCGCTAGTGCGCCGCTTGGGAAGCGCGGCGGCGCTCCCGCCGAGGGTTCGGATCCCACATACAGACCGGTTCCCGCTCACTGGCTGAGCGAGGCGCGGGGGCAACACCAAGGGTTGCGATCCCATTGCCGGTCCTGGTCCGGTACGGGGGTGACACTGAGGGTTGCGATCTGTTGCCAGACACGGAAAAAGACAAAAAAACAAACAAACAAACAAAAAAAACCATAGCCTAATCAACAGAGCATGGAACCAATCTTCAGAGCACTTCTTGGCCTTAGTCTCATGCTGTGTCAGCCTCTAGGAGCACCCCTGAAACAGCAAGAACTTTCCCAGAGTGCAGCACAATATAGACCTGATGTTGAAAAGAGATGCAGCATCCCAAAGATAAAATGTTTTCAGTAGTAAATGCTTTGAGTTACTTGTAAGTTTCAATGATTTCAAACAGCAAGACTTTTAATAGATTGTTTTCCTTTCAAAGAATAAATTTGTTTCTTTAGTGTCTTCTGAAACTTTTCATCCCTGCTTATTTCATAGGAATGTAGCAAGTGTCAATGAGATAATATTTATAAAGTTTTTAAGCTCCCTTGAAGAGAGGTGTTAAATATCCATAGGCATTAATGTAGCCTATAAAAACCAGCAAATCATGTTCTGAAGATCTGAAAAACATCAACATACTTTGTTCTTTGGGCACAATGTTTTGAGAAAACAAACATCAGATTGAAATGAAGTCAGAGAGTAGTAAAAACTTAAAAGAATAGCGAATTTTCTTTAATAAAAAGCATGGAATTTTTAATGTCTTTATAAATATGAGCTATTTAAACTAAAATCTAGTGTGTTTACTGGCATGTAAGGAAAAAAACCCAGATAATAATGAGTGTTATCCATCAAACAGGATGTTTAGCAAATTGCTAGACTCACAATTCTGTGACTCATGGTTAAACCTAATCTGGTTTTCTGTAATGTCAAAATAATCCCTTTTAAACCAACGTGTATTTTTTTAAAAAATAAATGCCTTCCACCTCTCTTCTGAAAAGGGACAGAAACATAACACATCTATTTGGAATTTACCTTGAATAATAAATTGTTCCATGTTTCCTTTGAAAGGCTGCATGTGCTCTTCTGAGGAGACCTGGTACACTTTCCCTGCTTCAACTTCACAGGCTGAAATGAGAGAGACACATGGTTTAGAACATCACACTCTTAATGGACAATTAAAACAATTTTGTAAACATATTAGCTATGTTAAAAATCCTGTTAACCATCCTAACTGGCATATTTTGGAAACATCCGAATACTGACATGAGAAGCCTATGATCCAGGCTTCCTTTTAGAAGATCATAAAAAATTCTTTAGAATCTATAATCCCAATTTAATCACTTCCAAAATGATCACTTAAACACATTACTTAACCACAGTCTCTTCATCTGTAGAATGGGCATAATACTAGAGCCTACCTCACAGATCAGTTAAGAGGATCAAATCCACTAATAGGTGTAGAGTGTTCGAATAGCGCCTGGCCATAGTGAAGCAATATGTAACTGTTTTCTATCATCATTATCATCAAACTGACTTGTAGAACATGTTCACCCCTAATTAAAGTCCAAATTTCTGAAAAATAACTAATTAAGTAGTGGTAATGTTAGTTTAGCAACCAATAATTATGGAGCATCTATTACATGCCAGATGCTTTGTAGCTATTATCTAACCTATTCCTTAAAACAAGGCAGTAAAGTAGATATTATTATCCCCTCTTACAGTTGAGGAAGTTAAGGCTCAAATAAAATGCTTCCCTCTTTCCCTCACCCCTTAAATCATCAATTCCTACTGTAAATTTCGGACTTAGCTCAGATGTAACTGTCCCTGCAAAGCCCTCTCTGACCTCACATCCCCTGCTTTCCTCCATCCCTGCCACCTGTCTCCAGGCAGGACTGGGAGTCCCACCTCTGTGACCACATCGCACCTTGTGCAGACAGAGTTAAAGCTGTTATTTAATGACTACTTTCTACACACAGGGACTGTTTCTGAGTGTTGTCCCATTCGATTCTCATAAAACCCTTTCAAGTAGATTATTAATACGCTTGTTTTACATTAGAGAAAAATGAAGCACAAAGAGACTGCCCACATTTACTGAGTTCATAATCTGAGGAGGTGGGATTCAATATCTACTACCACACCATAGGAAAGTTATTTGTAACTGTGGCTACTCTGCTCCACTACACTGAGCTACTTGAAAGGAAATCCAGCTCATTTCCATTTGTATGTGGAGTGCCAGACACAGGCAACAAATTAGTGCTGGATGGGCTAGAGGCTGGATAAATAGCTACTAACGTGGAAATGACATCCTACGTTTTAGAATCCAGCAGATGGGGTTTAAATTCCAGTTCACTCATCAACTGTACGTGCCTGGGATTTGGGGTTAATTACCTAACCTCTTGAGGTCTGGGTTGCAACGTCTGACTGTAAGTTTAATAAAATCTGTCTTTAACATCAGTGGGATGATTAGCCCAAGTCTGTAAAATGCCTGAAGCAGAACTTGGGATACATAAGTAGGTGCATGAAAAATAGTAGTTATTGCTGCTGCTTTTATAACACCAGGTGGAGTTCAGCCTAGAGAAGTCTAAGACAGTCCAAGAAGTCTATGAAATACAGTAGCTGCTTTCCAGGAGCCGAAGTGTGGTCTCATGAATGACTGGGCAGTGGGCACAGACTTCTCTATGTCGATTCCATGGAAGGAGGAAGCTGAGGGAGCAGAAGTCAGAGATCTCGCTTCAACGTAACAGGGATGGCGAATGCTTAGGGAGTTCCTCCAGCAAAGTGACCCACCTGGTGAGGTGGGGAGCACTTCACCACTGGGACTATTCAGAAACTAGTTGCTGAATGGAATGGGTCAGATGAGGAGACACCTGCACTCAGCTTCTATGAGCCGTGTCACTTATGACAGCCCAGGTAGCCAGAAATTCTGCATTTTTAATGTATGCAGGTGTATAATAAGGACATAATTATGTCATAACTTCCAGAGTTTTCTAAAAATGTATACATTAGCATCCTGAATTGGAGTATCATTTAATTGATACAAGTTGTAATCACTTCAAGGGATTGAGGTTGAGATTTACCAGCCCTTCTTATCATTTCAGTGAATGATTTCTGACAAAACCAGGCGAAGAGATGTTACCAGAGGTCTTAGAGCAGCTTCTAATTACCAAAAAAATCACTCATGCAGGACACAGATATTGATCAGCCCCCGACTGAGGTGAAAGCTCTGTTCCAGGCGCTCTGGCTACTGTGGGAACAGAACTGGCCAACTTCTGTCCTCAGAGAGCTTGTCTTCTGCTACACCACACAGTCTTTAATAACTATGTTTCAATCCCAGTGAGAAAAGTGAAATACTAATTGGCCCAAGTCTGACAGCTTAGGCCAGCATGGGAAAAAATTCAGTCTACAACCTGCTCTGAGTTTCAAAACTTAAAAGCCAGAGGCAAGGAAGATTAATATTTTCACTATGAGTCAAATTATTATTTCCCATTTTTTAAATTAGAAAATGGAAGAAATAAGTATGTTTTTTTTCACGATGTTATACAGTGTCTTGAGGTCTAGGATGCTGTATGAACAGCTCCTAGTGTCAACTAGGAACTGGAAGTATCACCTAAATAGGTCTGCTGCCTTAAAGGAGGACTACTTTTTTTAGTTAGAAAGCAGAGTTAGATCATAGACTGTGACAAAGTCTTCTAAAAGGTGCCAAGAATTCTATGAGTCTTCATTTTTACTGACTAACTTTTATACAATAGAACATTAAACAGACAAGAAAATGCACAATGTAATAATTTTCCTTCAGGCTTTTTCATTGTATATTTTAAATTAATTTTCACTTAATTTATAAATGTCCTTGTCTCATTCATATGAAATGTATTCTTAACACTCTAAGCAACACCTATTTTCTTTATTTCTCCTGTGTGTTCTCCCCCTTAACTTATACTAGAATTTCCTGTGTACAGTGGGAAATGAGTAGAATTTCAGATCTGGAAAGACTGTCAGGTCATTCACTTGCAGCCTCCTCTCATCTCCAGTTCTCCTCCAGAAGGCCACAAATGATGTCTGTTCAGAGTCTGGGTGTTTCCAATGATGTCCATTCATATCATTGCCAGGCAGCTTTTTCCTTAATAATCTGCTCTAATTATTAGAAATCTCAACTGTCTACGTAATAACTTCGTATAGCATACATTATACGAAGTTATACGAGGTTATAAGATATAATTCCATTATTCATTTTTAAAAAAAAATGACTAAGATCCAGTCATTAAAAAATAAATAACTAAATAACGACAACCCAAAAACCCCCTCAACGCCTGGCCTATAAAATACAGATTCAGAATATTATGTAATAAATCACATATAATGTGGGCAACAATGTGAGTGACACTTGTTTACATGTTACGTGTGAAAACTAGCAAATCGCTTGACTTATTTTTTGAGTATGTTCTAGGATCAAGGACTCCTTTCTTCCCACGTGCCAAAAATAAGTATTCCATACCTGTACAGATATAATTTTTTTTTAAATTACGTATTTTTTTTTTCTTCTGACCGATAAGGGGACATAATCTTTGCAATGAATGAGTAAATTAACTGTATCCTCCTGTCACAGTGAACTTCGGGTTAGTCTGCAAGATGTCATACTTATTTGAATTTCTCCAAGCCTTACTCACACTATTCACTCACCTGGCACACTCTTACCCCCTGCAATCAGGTGTTGAACTTCTACTTATCCATCCACATCCAGCTTCTGGTCCACCTGTCGCCCCAAGCCAAGAGGGTCAATTGCCCCCTGAACTTTGTATCTCTCTTTTCTATGGAGCATGTGTGAATGATATAGGATAAAAGCAAAGCTTTGGGAAAAATACATCTGGATCCAAGTCTAGTTCTATGACTAGCTATGTAATTTTCTGCTAGCTCCTCAAATTATCTGAGCCCCAGCTAGAAATTGAACTTAAATTGCTAAGCACTGAGGTGGCTGCTAGGAAGTTGTCTAAAAGTGACAGCTGTTAATGATATCTCATTTCATTTATTTGTGTATCTTTGTCTCTGATTATAGTTTGCATTATTTGAAGTCAAGGGCTGTCCTATTCACCTCTGTGTGTCTAGTGTCTGACATACAGAGGAAGCACTAAAACTACGTGTGGAAGAAAGTGCTTTCAACTGTGCCCCGATCATGAATTTTCTTATCTGGATATTAAGTCTCCAGTGATGGCTGACTTATAACACCACGTAAGTCTTATGCCAAGCACACTAAAACTCAAATCCAAACTTCCAAAACTCTCCATTGTGATACAAATTCTATACAATTATCTGTGAGTGGTTGTTGCTTTACTTATTTACTGTATTAAAAAGGAAGGGCCTGTTGGACAAACATAAAAATAGAATGTCAAGTTCTAGAGTTTATATACCTTTATATACATAAATTCTCATATATGTTCTTACACATTCAATACTAGGAAATTTCTCTAAAAAATCAGTTCCCATTCTTCTCTTAATGTTAGTATATCATGTTGCACAATGTATCATCCTAGCTATTACTTATCATCTTTAAAATTGGTATGTGACTATGTCAATTAAAAAAAATCAAACACTACAATCTTACAAAATTGGAGGGTCACTTAGAAACATTATTAAAAAGAACAAAGATAGAGTTCCTAAGAAATTGCACTACAGTCAAATCCAAATATTAACATTTGTTGGGAGATTGTTAGCATCACTTAGAAATTCCAATCACATTGACTTTTGTTTAATTTAAAGACCTTTCTGAGCCAAAAAGATTTCACAGTGTGTTAAAGGGCTAATATTGGAAAGCATGCATTAGGCTTCCAAATACAAAGAAAAATCCAGCCACAGGAGAGGAAAAACAAAACTCTCTCAGCTACTCCCACTGGAAAGCAGGCTGCAGTACCTCGGTGCCATCACAGAGTGGCATGTTTTTGGCTGAGAAACACCACCGTCAGCAGTGTCAGGTGCAACCAAGAACACGACACCACTCCCTGAACTGAACCATGTTCATAAGGATCTGGGCACTGTTTCTAGTGAATTGGAATATTCCCACTGTAATTTATACAAATGTCTAAGTTCAATCAATGCTAATCACAGTTTGGAGTCACTGCTACTCTGTGAGTTTC